AGTTGGGAACTGCAAGGCAGCAATGTTGTTACAGGGTTGCAGGTGTCCCCGTATGAGTTCATTCACCATTTTGTAGATGTAGTTGCAACCCAAGGGTTCATGTATCCCAGTCAGTTGGATGCGCTTCTTTCATAGCCGTTAGATCAGTTGGTAGATCCCGCCCGTCCGTTCAAAATAAGCTGCCTCGGTGTACCGTTCATCCTCTCCACAAGGCCTTTGAGTTACTGTCAATTTAGTTTAGCCCGCCTATCGAGCGTTTTGCCGGGGTGTGGCTGCTGATACATGCCTCACTCACGCTGTATGCCTACAAATACNACAAATACTAGGACTCACTACCTTCGAACTCAGGGACTATGATTTTAGTATATCAGATACTGCTTCAACGTAACCCATAATGTAGTACTCCGCTGACACTATCCAGAAATGGTCACCTCAGGGGACATACCATTTAACTGCTGATCCAGAAGAGTCCGCTAGAGTTCCGGTGTTATTCTTTCGGTGTCAGAGTATGTGCTAACTGGAAATCTCTTATATCTGAAGTTGTTTTCTGCTCCAACCGTCGATTCGTTAAAGTTGTAGAGCAATGGAATATTGAAACACCTAAACGACTCAACATCCGTGAATGAACGTGGATATCGATTATTTTATTTTTGTATCCCTATCCGAAGCCAGCACATACAGATCTCATGAAAGTCTACCAGCTTCAAGTTTGTATTTTAATTATAGTAAAAATTTGAATTTGACCCACCTGCGAGTTTCATCACTGTTAGTGCTGTGCACAGAATCTTATACACAATATTATACCCGGTTCATACAAAGCCGCTGAAAGTCGGTTTCACGGATGCCTGTAACCATCCTCTGTAGAGCCGCATTTTAGCCTTCTGCTGTCACAAAGCATTGATACTCTGTTACGCATAGTTTTCAACATAGATCGTGTCAGGCAGCAATGCTGTTCTGTGCGGGCCGTGACTGGCCATTCTAATCATTTACACACGAACACAAGACAATGCCTAAAGTGATACCTGTTGCTATATTGCATAGTAGTAGTAGGACAGGTGAGTATGCACCAATTTTTGGTTNTGGGGGGGGGGGGGGTATTATAAATCAATACTACCACAGTGCAGATAAAGACTATGTGCTCTTCTTACGTATGATTTCACTTGACTTATTACTTGCTTCATGAATTGCGGATTTGTTAGGTAAAGTTGCTAACCATAAGCAAATTTTTGGTTAGAATAATTGAAGTGTTATTATTAATATTCTTAATTATCATTCGTGCATTCACACTAACTCATTTCCTCTTCGCTCAATCATAGGTTTGCACGATCCTTGCAATCTAAATTCCCATGGCAAACTTGTCATCGTATGGAAGAGACGATCAATGTGTTCTCTCTCGCCTCCGGTCATCTGTACGAACGGCTGTTGCGGTGAGTACAAAGACGTGTTCGGTTTTTCGCCCACGAATGCTTCCAATGAGGATTGTAAAAATAAGTGGAATTCAGTAAGGACGATCAGGCCACTGTAACCGGATCTGAGGTCGTGGTCTTACCATCATCACCACCACTACTACCTGTAACACCATCCATGGATAAATTTCAGCCTCTATGCGCTCGTACCGCGGATCTTCACAACTCCGTTGATTTCAGGGGACACTTCTCCGATGGACTGAAACCTAAATACTTTGTTGTTGTACTGGAAATCTCACTTCTTTCACAATACCCCGTCGCATAATATTGCATAACCATGTACCTTTTTTCCTACGTTCAACAATGCTAACACTTGCCTGTTACATTTTTCTAACCGAATATCTGCCCTCAGTTGACGAATAGAGCTCGTAAATGGACTTGTCAGTTTCCGTGGCAATCGTTCAGATTGATGTGATNTATTATGAGTAATTCCCCCCCCCCCATTCAACCCCATTCTCTCTTTCGCATTCAGAATTATGATGCTGACCGTAATCCGGCACACGGAATCTCCCGTGAAATTTTGGTTCCTCAAAAATTATCTGTCACCGACTTTCAAGAAGTTCATTCCTCATATGGCTGCGGAGTACGGATTTGAATATGAACTGGTAGAGTACCAGTGGCCGCGTTGGTTGCACTCCCAAACTGAGAAACAACGCATTATCTGGGGCTATAAGATTTTGTTCTTGGACGTGTTGTTCCCGCTAAATGTGACCAAAATTATTTATGTAGATGCCGATCAGGTGCGTGTCTATAACATCTAATCTGAATCCGTAAATGATCATTCGAATGACATCCTGTGATCAAAACCGATTTATTTACTGATTTTCTCATCCGATATTTTTACACTCCAGTTGTGTTTGGCGTGTTTTGCATCCAAAAGTGTGCAATTTTGTACAGCTGTCACTTGACTGAAAAAATAACGATGGGATAAGTTCGTGGATCTCGGTACTAAGTGAACTGCACCGAAACTGGAACCCTTTTTTGGGCAGTTGCTGTGTCGCATGGAGAAAGAAAGTAAACGGATGATACGCCGTAAATCAATATTGATCACTGTCATGTATTGAGAAAGTTCTATTTTCATTTCATTCCGAAGTCTTCAATGTCTTCCACGGTCATCCCCCCCCAATCGGATGGTACATGTCGCGAGCCCAATGAACTCACCACCTTTCGGGCACAAGTTAGGCGAAGCAGTAGTTGCGAAGGTTGTAAGGTATTGAGAAACTTGTCAAATTAGGTCGGGCACCAAAACACATGCTCCACCTTGTGAGTTTCGTTGGATGGGTACAAGTGTTCCTCATGTTATTGATTAATTTTTACCGATTTCCAGTGCTTACTGAGGCTAACAATGTAAAATAACCAGCCCGTGATGTTTGTTAGGGCAACATTACTCGTGCAAGTTAAACAAGGTTCTCAGTCTGGGATCCGAGGATGCAGCTGAAAGCGTTGTTTGAGATCGCTATTTCACTGTTTTCACGTGAATGTTGGTGATTCGTTTAGTTGTTTCCGCCTGTCCTATTCACACCTTTCTACTTATCTCGTGTTTCTTTCAACAACAAAGTTTTTAGAAGGACGACAATGGAAATCATAGTTGTGAAGCGCCGAAGTTGTCTTGAGATCGTTGTACGCTTTTCTACATACTTTGCAAGGTTTATGATAGAACTATCTCTTCCATTGGCTAACATCCAAGCTACTTGTCGCCGAAATAATTTACGAGTGATGCCAGTCTAGATGCGGGATATGTAGCGATCGGAATATTACCCATTAAACCAAAGCCCTTGACACGTTCGCCGTCTTACAATTTCCTCCTTTTCCGTTTTCGATCACAGTTCTTACTTGTCAGATCTTTCTGTTTTGATCCTTCTCCCATCTACACTCAAACGGAACGTGGCAAGCACCTTTTTATATTTATGGGGTCATTAACCTCGGGGTTTGTGTTAAGATGAGCGAGGTTAGCTGCTGACGTTGCTTTATCGTGTGTAGAAAAAGTGGAACAGCCTGATCAGGTGTCCGGTTGCAAAACGGACAGAGTGCTTTTGTTTCACCTGTAAAATCGCGGGTTGACGATCCTCAGCCGAATCGATGGATTCGCACTGCTGATGGGATCCAGCAAGACCAAGGCAGTTCTACGGTACTTCTCAGTTCACGTTATCGTTGTATACGACGAATTCATCATAAAATAAAGGATCAGCTAAAGGCGCCCACAAGCATGGGGCTTAGTAACATGCAAGGTGACTGTAGGTCAAGAATAGCTGCGACTAATCACACATAATAATCTCCCTCCTGAATGAATGAATGAATAAATGCCGGGTTTGTTATAGGACTCATTGGGAATGCCTTTCTGGAACTATATATAGGAGTTTAATAAAATGTGGACGATTCCAGGGTTTTCTGATGGGTGATTATCTCACATAGGCAGTGCATTCTTTCACACAATTTCAGATTCCAGAACCAATAGTATAGCTCATTGGATGCTTGTGAAGCATATGATAGACTATCTGTCATTTAATACGTGTCCGATTTGTACTTCTATTTGAGTATGTATACATTTATGGATGCTCACAAGAAGAGTCTTTCACGATTCCCGATTTGCATGGTGCACATGTTAAACAGATACATTCTGGGTGTGTGCGCGCATATCTAATGGACGTTGTTACGTTACGTTTCTAACTGTTGCGTGACCTGAGCTTCCCCATATCGTTAGTGGTAGAATTTCTGTGACAAATAGACGTCTGTAATGAAGCCTGTTTAGATTTATACCTAGAAATCCATCAAAAGATGTATCCCAAGAAGACAGTACTTCGATGGGAGCAGCTCTGAATAGTAAATGGAAAGATGAGAGAGAGGGTTCTTCTTGAAAAAAATCAATAGCATGTTGTAGACTTTGGTAGATAAATACTCCTTGAGGTGCAGTTGGTCCCATATATGGGAACTACAAAAATGCCAATACCATCATCCCAACAATGTAGTTATGGGTCTCTTTCAGTGTAGTATTCCTGTGTAAATTTAACGCAGTAGCCTGTGAGAAATGCTCGAATTCGGGCGATTAAATCAAATTCCAGTCAGTGATGGCTGATGGAGGACCAGTGGATATCTTCATCTAACTATTCGGGATACAGAGATCCATTATGAGCAAAGTATGTTCGTCTGTTTTAGTATGTCTGATGGAAAAACAATCACTGACTTCACTGTCACTGACTGATGCACTGGTGGTGATTTTTCATTCATCTATTGTACCCATAGTAATGACACCTATTGGTTCCGAAAAACGATACCTTCCATTCCATGTCCGTGCACAATTTGAGGCACACTAGAATCAGAGCATGGGTGTGCCTAGGTTTGTCACGGAAGCTGTTGATAGTTGCCAATTTATAGTGCGCTTCTCCAGGTCACACAAATAAGGATGGTTGCTTCGATTGCCTATGGTGTCCGCATGAACACTGTTTGGATAGTTACAATAGGACATTCACAATGCCTGAGGATGCGACTGGCCTTAGCATGACAATGAACCTCTTAACATTAGGAACTACGTTTGTGTATAGAGAGTATTGTAACATTGATAAGTCTGGCCCGTCACTAAAATTACGATTCTGTGCTTGTTCTACAGGTGGCGTTTGTGCCTGTGCAAAAACTAGAGGCACTGTTTTGAAAAAGAACAGGATTCCTTGGGGCTATGGACACTTTGTATCAAATCCCCTCGTTCCTTCGTCCTCACCTACGTTTCGATCATTCTGAATGTAACAAACATTAAGTGAATCAATTCCGAATAGGGCTAATGAACGGTAGTGATGAAAACTGAGTAAGCTAGTTGTCTGGGTCCGTGTATTGGGCTTGCTTCATTTAATCGTAAAAGGAGCAAATCTCTTGGAGCTCTATCGATTTTTTCGCCTATAAAGGTTTTGTTTACAGAATGGATCTCATTGCAATTTCCATTTATGATAATTTCCACATACTGTTCGAACATGACTAAAAGTTGCTCTACCTTCAATTTCCATGTCCTCTTTGACGTTTACTCCTATCGTCTTGACCTTATGTACCAGATTGTTCGCGCGGATTTGCAAGAACTGGCTGATCTCGATCTGGAAGGTGCTCCGTACGGCTACACCCCATTCTGTGATTCACGCAAAGAAATGGACGGATTTCGCTTTTGGAAACAAGGCTATTGGGCCAATCATTTGAATGGTCGACCGTATCACATTTCTGCATTGTACGTGGTCGATTTGCATCGATTCCGTCAGTTGGCTGCCGGGGATCGATTGCGTGGCCAATATCACGGTCTGAGTCAGGATCCGAATAGTTTGTCCAATCTGGATCAAGATTTGCCGAATAATATGATACACCAAGTGCGTAAAAATTCGTGTTACACTGATTATTTATTAACTGATCGTTTGTTCTTTGTCTAAAAAGGGTTTGCGGTATTGGCCTCAGTTGCTTCATCGTTTGAGGTCAGATGCAATATGCATATATTTTATCTGACTAGTTCTACGGAGATTCGAACAATGAAGTGAATATGCTTATCCAGCTAAGCTACTCCAGGGTTGTTTCATGCACAGCAAGAAGATATATCAACGGGCGTGACAGTCTGGGCTCATTTGCATGCCTCGGGTACTGTAGACATCGAGTCCATTTAATGAGTGTGTTGACTTCACAGGCGACATCGGTCTACGTACAGTGACGGACAAAACACCCGGGAGACCGTCTTTCAACAAATGGGTTTCTTCTACAAAAGCGGTACTGAAATACAGATTACAATAGTGTAAAATATGCAAACCTCAAACTGTGGCACTAGCCGATTAACGAACACTGGAATCTGTGAAGCCAGTAATTCGACAAGCAAGAACTGCGAGCAAACAGGCGCGCAGTGCGGTAACAATAGAACGAATACACCGAACAATGTCAAACAAGATCACATGCATTTGGGGTAGTCAATGCTGGGAAGTGACCTAGAGGGGACCAGCCGAAACACAATACGTATAAATGTTAGTCATCAGGACCCACCGTAACATGACAATGCGGTAAACCGGTGTGTGTGTGTGTGTGTGTATATGTGTACACAGGTGTCAGGGTCAGGCGATCATGGGCACGGATTGATGAGACAGGTGAGACCAAAATAGAGGACAACGTAGCGGAGCACACATACCTATAGTGCGTGCGTATGTGTAAACGGCGTGTAGAACAGTC